AAAGTGTATCATTTGCTCCGTCACGATGTGTTATTCTTTAAATAGAACTAAAGTACTCGCGTTCAACCACTTTATAGGCACAACTACTTACTTTTATGGATTTTCTGAGTGTTGTGATTCAAGGAATACCTTCTTTTTTATGGAGAAGATTAAAGACGACGATATTGGATATTGAATTAAACTACCTTTCAAACACCTGCCCGGTTCTCTGATGTAGATAATATGACGAAGTTTTAACAAAAAGTATAACTTAACGTACCCACACTCTAAGCAGAAAGTATATGCATTTCTGACTATATTTTGGTGTAGGTTAGGCGACGTGTATAATAAGCACAAAAGTTAATATAATAAGAAGCTATCAAAGTAGTGAAAATGGAACATAGACATGTAATTATTGCTCATCTAACTGTAAGGGCATAATTAAAAATAAATATATGGAAGCTCCACTTAAATACGCTATATTATTTTTTGTTTGTTTGTGTTAAGCGCAAATTTATACAAAGAGCTATTGGGGATGTGCCCACCACGTGTATTGAAAACAGGTTTTTAGCGTTTTAAGTCTACAGGCACACCGCTGGGCAATTGAGGGGAAAGAATCCATACTACATTCAAAATATATTTTTAAATTAACGGTAGGATCGAAATTGGTAAATCAAGTTGGGATCTCAAAAACATGAATTATTTTAGTCGTGAGTTTAACTGCGTATTTTAGAATCATGTTAAATACGGTAACGACATCACTGTTCTTTTGTGAACAGTTATAGACATTGTGTTTATATATTTTATTTTGAAATATAACGTAAGTTTTCTTGAGTGTGTGCTAATATAGCTTTTCAATATATTTTCTGAATATTCTTATGCATAGATTTCATAAAGTAACTAAGAACATTCAACGTTTAAAAATGCACAATGATTTATTGTATAAAGTTAAAAGTAAAATATACAATTAAAAACTGATTTTAATTGTAAAGAGGTTTAATTGTGTATTTTACTTTCAACTTTATACAATAAGTTGTTGTGCATTTTTAAACGTTAAATGTTTTAACTTATTTTATGAATACAGCTTTTGACATTAAAGTGTGAAATTAACACCAAAGATGGTTTTAAAACATTATGATATCTATTTTAGTCATGCCTCTTTTTTTTTGACATTACTATATAGTTTAGGTAGATTAAAATTAGTCTGGTCAATTGAAAAGATATTAAACACTGATTACGTAGACAAACATAAGTTGAGCGCTATCTGTCGCTTTAGTTAGTTAAAAAACAGGTTACATACACGCTAACACTCCCCATAAGTTGAGCACTCTCTGTCGCTTTAATTAGTTAAAGAACCAGGTTACATAAAAGCTAGCCTGGCATGGCCAGGTGGATAAGGCGCTCGACT